CCATCTCAGCTCTCATGAAATCTACCAACTTCAAGGAATTTATGTCCAACATAGCTTCCGCATAAGTCACGGGATCCTCCTCACTAGTCATAGCTTCCACCAAGTAACTATCCTGGTCATAGCCAAAACGGACTGGTGGCCTGGATACCCGGGTAGATCTTCTAGGTTGGTCAATACCTGGAACCTGTGGGACACCTCCCACTGCTCCTGAGCTCTTCTCATCAAGAACAACTTCCTGATGATGATTGTTCAGATATAGTCTTCCTCCAAGAAATGGGCATTCCGACTACAGAACACCTTCTGTTCTCCTGGGTCATAAAATAGGTAACCCACAGAGCTCTTGGGGTAGCCTACAAATAGGCAATGGCTGGTCTTGGATTCCAATTTGTCCGCACTCGTTCTTTTAACGTGCGTAGGACAACCCCAAATCTTCAAGTGTTTGACACTTGGTTTCTTTCCAGTCCAAAGTTCATATGGAGTATTCAGAATCGATTTGGTTGGAACCCGATTTAGCACATATATCACAGTCTCTAATGCGTAACCCCAAAAGGATGTAGGTAACTCTGAGTGTACGAGAAGTGACCGAACCATATCCAATAAGGTCCTATTCCTCCTCTCTGAAACACCATTAAGTTGTGGTGTAGCAAGAGGAGCTAACTGTGATACTATCCCTTTGACCTTCAAGTAGTCCCTGAATTCGTCAGAGAGATACTCGCCAGCTCGATCCAATCGAAAAGTCTTAATTTCTCTCCCTAACTGTTTCTCGACTGAACTCTTTGAACTTTTCAAATCATTCAAACTTGTGTCTCATTATGTACACATGACCATACCGAGAATAATCATCAGTAAATGTAATGAAACACATGTGTTGGTTACGAATCCTAACACTCAGGGGACCACATACATCAGTATGTATAAGGTCAAGCGTGCCCGTACATCTTTCAGCCTTACCGTCAAATGGCCGTTTCGTCATCTTACCCTGAAGGCAAGGCTCACAAGTGGGAAGATCTTCTACAGTTAGAAAATCCAAAGGACCATCCTTTACCAACCTTGTGATACGATCAATGCTGATATGGCCAAGTCGGTAATGCCACAGGCACGTGGGATTAACTGTATCACGAATCCTTTTCTTGGGGATATCAG